ATACCTATATTAATGTTAAGGGTGATATGGGAATTAAAAAATATAGTTGTCCAAACATTAATGAATGGGACCCACATTTGAAGTAAAATGTCGTGTGCTATTTATTTTTTTTCTTACCACATAAATTTTGCACAATACTCTTCTATCAATTCAATCCTTCTCCCTCTAAATTCTAGCCATTGTTTTGCAGAACGAATTCTCCCCAAAATCTTGTTTTCTCTGAAAAAAAAGGTCGTCCGTCAACCATTATTCGCTTTTGCCTTTAGCCTAATTCATATTTTCTCGTCATCAATACTGGAGAAGGAAATTATAGAAGTTGCAACAATTATTTTGGGTATGTTCTTCTTATAATTTTTCTTTTTTGTGTATTTCTTTTTTTATTTTCTTACTATTTATTTAAGGTACGTAGTTTTCCTTTGTTTGTAGATGAAAATCTAGCTGTGTTTGTCTTCCTTTAGCTCCATATAAGGTATGTTCTCGTTTCTGTACATGCATGAAAATATATCTACGTTTACATATTCATGGTTCATGAGGTTGAAGGTCATGAATTTTTGCCGTTTCAAAGCTGGTGAGGAATCAACTATCATCATTCATAGCCAACTTCAACAATTTCAAATCACTATTTCACTCCATTTTTCATTCACTGTAGAAGAAAATGAAATTGCACTGGACGCAAAAAAAAAATGTTAATAGAGGGTGAAAATTATATAGATGTGTACATACACATTTACATACATACATGTTTAGGTGTGTGAGGAGAGGGGATTACTTTTCTTCGTATAGAATATATTTTATTTAATTAGTATATAATAATAAAATAGTATCTACCTTTACTATAAGAGAGGAGATTCTCCAAGTTATTGTTTATGTTTGGCACAATTTCACACGTAACCAGTTTCTTCCTTTAGTATGTAGACTAGAGATATTTTTTTCTTATTCTTATCTAATATGAAAATTATTTAAGTTGAAAACGCCTAACTTTGTATGAACTTTAAAAATTCTTTAAAATATATGTGTTTGGGACATGTAGATTTATATTAACTTTAAAGATGAATAAAATTTGAATTGAAGGCGCCGTGTAGTAGTTAGTGCCATGCCTTGATTTTTTATAAATTGATAGATGACCGTGGTAGATAGAAGTCTTGTCTAAATTAAATAGTTATAATGGAAGTGTATTTATAGGGAAATTTATTCTGTAGGTTGCTTTGAATTAGAATTTCGAATGTTCCAAGAGAGAAGCTAGAGTACCATACTTTTTCATTGAAAAAGATATTTTGTTAGAGCTTATTAAGGCAGAAATTCATAGATGGAAATCTTTTATTACTTGTTGCCCGAATTCTTTTGTGCATTTCCAGTCGTCCACTTATGAATTTATTAAGTTTATGATTGTTGATAAATTACTTACATTATAACTTTAGAAATAGATTGCATATGTAGGTTGATTGGGTGGAAGCAAAACCACTAAATTTATAGATTAAAAATATTTTCTTTTTAGAAGTCTTTATTTTCTTACTCTTTGGTAGTAGTATAGCAAAAACTTTTACAACATTACAATAGTATTTATGTTTTTAAAAAAAAAAACTATTAATTTTACAAGAATCATATAAAAATGTTAATCTTTTATTCCTACTTTTACATCATATAAGTCTTATTAAAATTTTATTTCATCAATAGTTCAGTCAACAATGTTTATATTTATTGCTATTGCTTTGAAGTAAACAATTTTTTTTATTAAACTTCAGCTTTATGCATGTTTTTAATGTTGTGAGAGTCTGGTTCACTTGTGTCTATCGAATATTTTTCCTATTGTGGAAACTTAGTAGTATTATTAATTTTTTAATTATTTCATTCACTAAAATGAAAATTCTTTGCTTTCGTTAAACTAGAGGTGAAGATCTTTTCCCTATAGATTCTTCGAACATTGATAGTACTTCTAAAAATGCAACTGAATCGTATACTGCTTTTATTCGCCAACAACAAAACCAAAGACAGGCGAATAGGAGGAATCGAATTCAAAGTCCACATGTTGATCGTCGTAAAAAAATAAATAATTCCACGTTGCATCCTAATTTTCAGGCTTCTACTTCAAAACAAGCACGTACTAATATTGTTCATTCTAAAGTACGATGGATTTCTAACCTATTAAACATACCTACTAATGCATATGTATTACCGACATGGAACTATTGTGAACATTGTGGTGCGCGAAAATTTTATAGAGAAACTAAAGGGTTCTGTTGCTCTGATGGCAAAGTTAAACTTTATATGCATGATTCACCAACTGAATTGTATAATTTATTTACTTCTAAAGAACCTGAATGCATGGAGTTTAAGAAAATTTCACGTGAATATAATAACCATTTTGCATTCACTTCATTTGGTGTAAAGTGCGATACAGACCTTTTTAGAGCATATAAAGGTATTTACACATTTAGAATTCAGGGACAAGTATATCATTATGTAAATCAACTTCTACCGGAAAATAATCAGCCTTCTTATATGCAATTATATTTTTATGATACGAATAACGAAGTTCAAAATCGTATGAAAATTTCAGAAAATTTTGTTGAATCTACTTTGATCATTTTGATTGAAATCTTAAAAGTAAATCCGTATAGTAGATTCTTTAGGTCTTTAAGTAATATGACCAATTTGCACGACCATCGAATACAAATAAGATGCGATCCTGGACTTAATCAAAGAGTCTTCAATACTCCTTCAACATCTCAAGTAGCCGCTGTATGGGTTGAGGATGATGACAATGCAAATATTCGTGTTCGTGATATTACTATATATGGTCATTCTGGTGATTCACATAAGGTTCACTATTATTATGGTTGTTATGATCCTTTGCAATACCCTTTACTTTTCCCATTTGGAGAACCTGGTTGGCATGAAGGTATTCAGAGATACAAAAAAACATATTTTGAAACTCAGAATTTACCCGATTGCGTAGCTTTTCCTAGCACAGTAAATTTTGCAACTGAAATCATTGCAAAAGAGGCTCAAGGTTTGCTATTAAACTTTTTTATACGTTTACTAATTCATATAAATTAAATGTTCCAAATGGGTGTAAGATGCATTTTTTTATCCTTATGTAGTATTCAATGGAATGAGGAAACGATCACAGGTTTCTTGCCGCGAGTACTATTCTTACAAGTTACAAATTAGGCCTTCTAGTAAGTCTGTGTTGCTTCATACTGGTAGACTTTTTCAACAATATGTTGTAGATATGTATGTTAAAATTGAAACTGCCAGATTAGACTATTTTCGTAGCAATCAGAAACAAATTCGTACTGAACTTTATCAAGGTATTGTGGATAGTGTTCAAAATGGGGAAACAAGAGGGTCAAAAATTGGAAAGAAGATTGTTCTACCACAAACTTTCACATGTGGGCCTAGAGATATGCTTAAAAGATATTTAGATGCAATGGCTATCGTCCAACGTTATGGAAAACCAGATATATTTCTAACTATAACATGTAATCCAAATTGGCCAGAAATTATGCAAGAACTCAAACACAGTGACTAAAGTTCAAAATCGACCAGATTTAATTGCACGTATATTTAGAACAAAATTGGAAGAGTTAAAGAACGATTTATACAAAGAAAATATTTTTGGTTCAGTTGTTGCTCATATATACATGATTGAATTTCAAAAAAGAGGGCTCCCTCATGCCCATTTATTGTTGATTTTCAATTCTACCCATAAAATTTGTTGTGCTGAACAAGTTGATATGATAGTGTCATGTGAAATTCCCGATAAGAATAAATACTTGCATCTTTATTCTGTAATTGCAAAACACAATATGGATGGCCCTTGTGGAAACATTAATCCAAAAAACGTATGTATGTTGGCAAGTAGTGGTTGTAAAAATAAATATCCTAAGGATTATTGTAACAGTACTATATTTGGTGATAATTCATATCCCTTGTATAGACGTCATGATAATGGTATTTCTATTAAAGTAAGAGGCCAAATGTTAGATAATCGGTGGGTTGTACCATATAATCCTTATTTAAATGCAAAATTTGACTGTCATATTAACGTTGAAGTATGTTCTTCTATTAAAGCAGTAAAATATTTGTACAAATATGTGTATAAAGGATATGATCGTATTAATTGTTTCGTAGGCAGAAATGAAACAGATAAGGAAATTGATGAAATTTTTGCTTATCAATCAGCTAGATGGATATCTCCACCTGAAGCTATGTGGAGAATTTTTTCTTTTAATTTGTCAAAAATTTATCCTACTGTTTACGCTTTACAATTTCATATTAAAGATCATCAGCACGTAACTTATAATAGTAAAGATGATTTATCTGTTATTATTGGAAATGAGAATACAAGAAGAACAATGCTAACTGAATTTTTTCGGATGAATGAAGTAAATGAATTTGCTCGAACGCTATTGTATCGAGATTTTCCAACACATTTTGTGTGGAATGCAACTGGAAAAACTTGGACTCCCAGAAAACAACACATTGTTATAGGGCGAATCGTGACAGTTAATTCATCCGAAGGAGAACGATATTTCCTTCGTGTTCTTCTGAATCATATTAAAGGTCCAACATCATATGACAGTTTTAAAACTTTAAATGGAGTAACAGTCAATACATATCGAGAAGCAGCACTTTTACATGGTTTGTTAAAAGGAGACAACCATTGTGAAGAATGTCTATCTGAAGCCATTATTTACAAAATGCCCAGTTCTTTAAGACGTCTTTTTGTTACACTTCTTACACTTTGCAACCCTAATCATCCAAAGTTATTGTGGGATAGATATAAAGCCTATATGATTGATGATTACGTACATCGAAACATGTGTTAGAGATGCTGAAATACAAGCTTTGGAAGACATCAATTCTATATTAGAATCGTCAGGAAAAAATGTAAATGATTATGGAATAGTTTCATTCCTTGTAAATATAGATGAGACTCAAAGATTGGCAAGAATGATTACAAAGGAAACAATGAATTTTAATATTCAACGAGACTTTAATTGTGTAGAGAAATTCAATAAAGAACAACGATTTGCATATGATAAAGTTATGGAAAAAGTAAAAAATGACTCAAGTGGTACTTTCTTCATTGATGGTCCAGGGGGAACGGGGAAGACTTTTTTATACAAAGCACTTCTAACTGCTGTAAGAGGTCAACATTTCATTGCTTTGGCAACAGCGTCCTCTGGAGTCGCTGCGTCTCTGTTACCTGGAGGTCGCACAGCTCATTCAAGATTTAAAATTCCTTTAGAAACAATTAGTGAAGTGAATTGTTCTGTTAGCAAGCAATCAACTTTAGGAATAATGTTGAAAATGTCTAGGTTAATAATTTGGGATGAAGCGCCTATGGTAAAC